GCAGATCATAATCTCCTACTATCTAAGAGTAACGAATCCTTTATTGATCAATCACAACCTTCATACGATTCTTGACACACCCGAACGATGTCGTATTAGCGGCCCCTTTCAGAGCAACATCCAACACCGCCAAAGTGTGACTGTCCTCATATAAGGTATCATGACGACCTCAAGTCAAAGAACCAATTCCACTACCGAACGTTAGAGATTAGCCACTGACACTCAGATAGTTATCCATGTGGAATCTCTTAGCGGGTCTCCAATGTTTTATTCTATATCAAAACATCCACGTGTTCATTTAAGTGTCACCACACTTTAGCTCGTGAGATCAGCTACTTACTTCACAAGTAAGAAATGCCACACGTGATGGTCTAACTGCATTAACGATATCCGTATCTCGTTATTACTTACGACCATGGTTTATTCAAGATCCAATTATATGTAATTTGTATCTCACAATCACAACTCCTTGTGATCAACAGATTATCTAAAAATTGGATTTTCGGATTCTATTATTTAATATTATTTATTATAAAATTAATTTAAATAAATAATAGATCTCGCCAACATTAAATGCATTAAATATATTAAAAGCGTTTACAACCTAAATTAATTGGATCTAGGGCATAACACTTACAGTTTATTCTTCCTTGCATTCCTCTCAGCTGGTCTCTTTTGCGTAGCCAAGAAGAAGAAGAAGCCTATTATGGTTCCTGCGGCTGCTTGTGAGGAACCTGACGAACCACAAAGACCTCACGGCGGAGAAGCTGCGGCGGCCCATGCTCATGGTCATGGAGGCGGAAAGATAAGTGGAGGAATGCATCCTCATCCTCATTCTTCAGGCTACAATCATTAGCATGCCAAAAAATCTGCATTCGTATTTCCGAGTTATTGATTGACACCTTTGGTACAATAGATTGAAACGACACAAACGTTAAAAAAAAAAATTAAGATTTCATTTAACTATCAACTGTGATTTGTGTTTTTGTTGGGCTGTGTTTTAGATATCGAACCCTAATTTCTTCTTCGTTTTCTTGATTTTATTTATTTATATAGGATGTTTAATAAAGGATTGGAGAGTAACAAATGTCAAGCCATATATTGTTTCATTTTGGTCTCTATGCAAGATATTTTTGTGTGCATCTACATTCGTTATCAAATAAAAAACCATTGTCGCCTTTTAGAAATCGAATCCTAATATCTTCTTGGTTCAAAAACCCTTTTTCATTATTAAATTATCTTAATTTAAAAGTTGTATCCATCCAAATGTCCATACGTTCATACGGTGATAAGCTGCAGGACAAAAACATAGTAACTAAATGCCAGCATAAAAACGAAATAAACGAGAAGAAACTTTTGAAAAAAGGAGTGGGTAAGGTAAAGAAGAATAAAGTCACTCATTTAATGTATTTGCACAACTTGATTGACAACAAAGTGTGTTGAAAAAATTTCAGTCATTGATTTTAAAAATAAATTTTTAAATAGATAGATGTGATATTTGCCAACTCATACATTAATATTGTAAATCAAATTATAAAATATATTGTACAAGTAACATGATTGAGTAAAGGATCATGTGGATGAATTATTTTAAAGTTTTCTAAGATATGTCCAAATGCTGTCACGACATATACAAAATAAAGCGAAGTAAGTCACTGTACGTGTCATGTGCATATTCTTAGTACTATAATCGTGGACTTAGCCCCCGTTTGTTTCTCATTTTTGAAAGAATGAGAATGAAAAATATAGTCGTTATGGGCTCCACATAAAAGATAGAAATTCAAATTTAGTGGCTTAATGTGATGGAAAACGATCATATTTTTCATTTCAATGGGAAAAGAATGAGAAACAAACAGGGGCTTACTTTTGTCACTTTGTACGGAAATCATTTTGGACAGTAGCTACCCATTGAGTAGTTAAGCTTTGTTTGATTTTACTTTATTGAAAATTATTTCTCTTTCACACTTATTTTCAATTACATATTTTATGTTTTTTTATAACTTTTTTATTTTTAATCATACATTTGCAAAAAAATAAAGAAGTACTTCTCGAAAAAACATTGTAAAAAAGCGCTAAAAATTAAAATTGAACTTTACAGTAAGTCACTGTTAATATGGCTCAATAGGATTATCCTTGATCTCAACCTTGCTCAATATCATCACGAGCAATTACTTCATGTACAAAATGATACTTTACGTCAATGTGCTTAGTCTTTTCATGGAACATCTGATTCTTAGTAAAAAAAATAACAATCTAATTATTACAATATACTATAGAAATTCGCAAATCTTTATTGTTTTCACGTATTAATCAACTTAGCCACATCGCCTTCTTACATGCTTCTGTAAAGGTCATGTACTCTACCTCTGTTGTAGACAAGATTGCTGTATTTTGCAAAAGTAGCTTTCTAGCTTATAGAGCACAACCTTCAAGGGCAAAAACGTACCCTATAAGTGATTTCCTCTTATTAAGATCCCCTGCATAATTTGAATTCGCATGCCAATTGACTCCATTTGTATTTATAGCAAAATGCAAGCAAGCATTAATTGATTCCTTCAATTATCTAAATATTCATTCCACTGCTTTCCAATGTTTATTGTCAAGATTTGTCATGTACCTATGTTCATTGTCAGGATTTGTCATCTACCTACTAACTACATGTGCCAAATCTAGTTTTGTACAAATCATAATATACATAAGCACTTATTTATTTTATTGTATTAAAATATTTTCACAACTCAACGTGCTGGATAAACAAATATTGTTTCAGTCTACCCCTAATGGACAAATATCCTATTTTTCTTTTGTACTTTTTTTTATTATTATTGTAATTTAAAAATATTAATCAACATATAAGACATCGCAACTAGTCCTAAAAAAATTACTTCTTTTTACAAATAGAATTTTAATACTCACGAATATGCATGTTTTGGAAGTTTAGAAAATTTATGCTAACAATTCGTTTAAAACTCAAATAAGAAACCGAATTTCAATTTTAGAATCCTGAAATGGGTTAAATTCTGCAAACCTTGAATATGGAAAATAACAACTAACGAGGATTTTGTTTATTTTCTTAACAACGTTGATATTTTAAGATAAAATTACAGATTAAGCATCGTTTGATGGGGACTAAAATCATATTTTCAGTAGATTTTGATTTGATAAAAATCAATGAAATGTGTGGGGTTAAATAGTTATGAATCTTATAAAATGTGTGATTGAAATTAGTCGTTGACTCTGATTTAATTGAAATTTGAATTTTAACTTCCACCAAACATGGAACTAATCACAACGTTGTAATTCACTCTTTAATTCAACTTTGGAATTCGTTCTTAAAGTGAAACATTTTTCACGTGTTATGTTTTATATACTGATCCATAAAAGATTGAGAATTTTCATTATATCCGTGCAGAAATAATTATGAAATATGGTGGTAGGTGGAGTTTCAAGTAAATCATTAGCGGGAGGGCTGTCCTTGCAATTGTGAACTGATTTAAAGCATGTTTAGTACAACTTAAAATTCAATTAAAATTAATTTTTTGATCGTTATTTTATTATTTTAATCGTCATTTTTGAATTATTCTCTCACAAGTAGGACTCATTTTATCTCTAACGGTCAAAAAATCAATTAACAAAATTCCTAGCAAACAAGCACTTAATTATCTATAACAAAAGTTCTACAAACTGCATTATTTTATCTGGAAAAGTAATTAATATCAGAGAATATTTTTATTACTAATCATATTGTAGACTCTGTTGGGAGGCCAACGATAAATGCAGTTGTCCGGATCTAGTTTGTTACTAAAATGAAAAAAAAAATAAAAAAAATTATGTTGATGACCAAAAAAATGACGTCAACTTCAAAGATATTTGGATTGAATAAAAATGTTGTAAAGTCAGAATTTTGATAATTATACAAAAGAGAATTTCAGATCGGATGCCATTCTCATGCACACCATTTGTCCCGTTGTATAGGTTGATGGACTTAATATTGCCACCTGACCTTTTCAAGGTAAAATGTTTCGACTAGGGCTACGTGCCATTGCCTTTGAAGGAATTTAATTGGTTGTTAAGTTCCGCTACGACAGAGTCATATGATACTAAACTTGTGTCCTAGGATAACACGTCATCTTCTTTGGTTTGTAAGGTATGCTGTTAAGAAAAACGCTTCTTTTGTCATGTCACGATGATATTTTCATATTATTTAGCCCTTGTTTGACAATTATCATTTTCAAACTCTTTTTTTTTTTCAACATATACATTTTCAATTACATATTCACAAAATAAAATATTTTACATGTAGAAACCCAAAATTTTTCTTAGTTTTTGATCACACATTCTCTAAAAAATCACTATTCAAATCCTACGTTTCCAAATAATAATTTTCAAACAAGGGCTTAATCTTGCAATTAGAATACTCTTCTTTCCATAATTTCTTCCTCATATAGATATGTATAAGATCTATGGGACAATTACTACATCTTGTGCTATAGTCATTCCTATCTGATAGAAAGGGTCGACGTTATTGATTTCGGATATGAAGAGTAATATACATAGATAGAAGCAAATGTTACGAAAGTGGGAAAAAAATCCCTACCTAACCCAATCTACTCCTTCACCTCGATAGTGGAGTTAATAACTATGAAATTTGGTGGTTGATGGAGTTTTGAGAAAACCACTAAGCGGAGGATTGTCCTTGCTATTGTGACCCGATTTATTTATCTGTAACAAAAATCGAAATTTCTTATAAATCGATTTATTTTTATCTTGAAAAGGAATTAATATCTTATTATATATTTAGAGAATATTTTTACTAATATTCATATTGTAAACACCTTTATTCAATTTCGTACCATCCAGCAATTTTACTTAGGTCCACAAAAGTACATGTAAACTTTCAAGGTATAAAACTTCAAGAGATTTTTAGATTATTTATTTTCCTTTCTTTTCTTCTCAATCACACATTTTTCAATAAAATAGTATTACATTTAAATTATTTTTAAAAAAATTATTTTTTAATCACACATTATTTCAAAAATAATATTGCCAAAATTATAATCTACGATAACTCAAAAACGTGAAAATGTTCTATGAGCATGCTATAGTGGACCAAACAAATAATTGTTTGAACCTTTTTACTTTTATGTTGGAAAAGAGCTGTCAAAAACGAAACTCTATGCAAATCGAATATATTTAGGCCATGTTTGGGAGCGATTTTTTGATCAAAAAAATTGATTTTTTGACCGTTATTTTACTATTTCAATCGTCATATTTGACGTCTTCTCTCACAAGTGGACCCCATTTTTCTTCTAACGATTAAAAAATCAATTCTCAAAATCACTCCCAAACAGGCTATTAAAATATATTGGGAATACAACCCATGTTTTTTGTAATCAATATTAGTGTAAAATAAAAAAATTAATAATGTAAATTATATCCCACGGTGAAAAAAAGAATTGAATTTACACAACTACTAATTTTTAATTTCATTAAACTTTACAGATGAATTGTGTATATATATATATATATATAGCTAATGTCTCTGCAAGTGCATAATCCAAAGGGTCTGGGCTCTCAAAACTAGTTATCAATGCCTTCTCTCAAAAGCGTAGCTAAGGTAGCTTACCCTTACTATTCTCCTCCACCACCATCACCCCCTCTGCCATGTAATCCTACTCCACCGCCTCCATGCACTCCTCCTCCTCCGCCACCACCTCCTCCTGTTGCTCCATATACACCCCCTTGTCATGGCCAACATTGTGGACATCATCATCATCCACCTAGTGCTTCACCACCAACACTACCTCCATTCAGCCCTCCTCCTCCTCCGCCGCCGCCGCCGCCGCCGCCTTCTCCTTCTGTCACTCCATATTCACCCCCTTGTCATGGCCAGCATTGTGGACATCATCATCATCCACCTAATGCTTCACCCCCAACAACGCCTCCATGCAGCTCTCCTCCTCCGCCGCCGCCGCCTCCACCACCTCCTCCTGTTGCTTCATATTCACCCCCTTGTCATGGCCAACATTGTGGACATCATCATCATCCACCTAGTGCTACACCCCCAACACCGCCTCTATTCAGCCCTCCTCCTCCTCCTCCTCCGCCGCCGCCGCCTCCACCACCTCCTCCTGTTGCTTCATATTCACCCCCTTGTCATGGCCAACATTGTGGACATCATCATCATCCACCTAGTGCTACACCCCCAACACCGCCTCTATTCAGCCCTCCTCCTCCTCCGCCGCCGCCGCCGCCACCTCCACCTTCTTCTCCTGTTGCTCCTTATTCACCTCCTTGTTATGGCCACCATTGTGGACATCATCATCATCCACCTAGTGCTTCACCCCCAACACAGCCTCCAGGCAGCTCTTCTCCTCCGCCGCCGCCACCTTCACCTCTTTCATCCGCAAGCCCACCACCACCTCCTCCTGTTGCTCCACATTCACCTCCTTGTCATGGCCACCATTTTGGACATCATCACCATCCACCTAGTGCTTCACCCCCAACACAGCCTCCAAGCAGCTCTTCTCCTCCGCCGCCGCCACCTTCACCTCTTTCACCCGCAAGCCCACCACCACCTCCTCCTGTTGCTCCATATTCACCTCCTTGTCATGGCCACCATTGTGGACATCCTCATCATCCACCTCCTACATCCCCAACACCAACTCCGACACCCGCATCGCCGCCTTATCCACCGAAAACACCATCCAATGGCCCGGTTGTTCCGCCACCTAAACACTCAAAACCACCAAGAAACTCACCAAGTCCTGGTGGCCCAATTGTTCCACCGCCTAAACATTCAAAACCACCAAAAGGCTCAACATCTCCTGGTGGCCCAGTTGTTCCGCCGCCTAAACATTCAAAACCACCATATCCCTCACCAACTCCCGGCGGCCCAATTCCACCAAAAACTCCTGCACCAACACCTGGTAAACCACAAACCCCAGCTTACCCACCATATTATTCCCATCCACCAATTCCTACCAAGCCTGGTGGTCCAGTGTACCCACCAGGAGGTCCAGGAGTACCCTACACGCCGCCAAATGGGGGGCCTATAGCACCTTCACTAAACACCCCTTTTTCGCCGCCGTCAAACACTCTCGTTCCACCGCCTTCAGGTGGTGGCAACAACCACACAACCATAATTGCAGTGTGCGTTTCTCTTGGTGGTTTATTCTTCCTTGCATTCCTCGCAGTCGGTCTATTTTGCTTAGCCAAGAAGAAGAAGAAGCCTATTATGGTTCCTGCGGCTGCAGCGGCTGCTTGTGAGGAACGTGAAGATCCACAAAGACATCACGGCGAAGAAGCTGCGGTGGCCCATGCTCATGGAGGTGGAGAGATAAGTGGAGGAATGCATCCTTATCGTCATTCTTCAGGCTACAATTATTAGCAAGCCAAAAAATCTGCACTCTTATTTCCTTGTTATTGTTGAGACCTTTGGTACGTTAGATGGAAAAGACACAAACAAAACTCAGAAAAAAAAAAAAAAAATTAAGATTTCATCTAATGTCACGTACCAATTGTGGTTTGTGTTATCGTTGGGCTGTGTTTTAGAAATGGAACTGAAATTTCATTTTCGTTTTCTTGATTTTATTTATTTATGTAGGATGTTTAATAAAGGATTGGAGGGTACCAAATGTCAAGCAATTGTTTCATTTTGGTCCCAATGCAAGATAATTTTGTGTGCAGCTACGTTCATTATCAAATAAAAAACCATTGTTGCCTTTTAATTTCTTCTTGGTTCATAAGTCTTTTTTTCATTTTTAAATTATCTTAACTTAAAAGTCATATCTATCCAAATGTCCATCCGTTCACACCGGCGAGGCGATAAGCTGCAGGACAAAAACCTAGTAGATGAATGCCAGCATTAAAAATGAAATAAACGAGAAGAAACTTTTGAAAAAAGAAGTGGGTTAGGTGAAGAATGTTGTGGATGAATTATTTTAAAGTTCTCTAAGATATGTGCACATGCTGTCACGGCATATAGAAAATAAAGTGAAGTCAGTCACTGTGCGTGCCATGTGCATATTCTTAGTACTATAATGGTGGATCCGGCTTTTGTTACCTTGTACGGAAATCATTTTGGACAGTAGCTAGCTACCAATTGAGTAGTTAAGCCTTGTTTGATTTTAATTTATTGAAATTAATATTTCTCTTTCGCACTTATTTTCAATTTCATATTTTATGTTTTTTTATAACTTTTTTATTTCTATTTTTATTCATACATTTGCAAAAAATAAAAAAAATAAAAATCAAAGAATCACTTCTCGAAAAATCATTCTAAAAAAGCGCTAAAAATTAAAATTGAACTTTACAGTACGTAATTGTTACTATGGCTCATAATTAAGTTATGAACAGAGTGTAAGCAAACAATGCAAGTCCCAATGTATCAACCATGGAAGATATTATGATCTGGATCTTGAACAAGAATTTAGAACTGGTTACAAAGGAAAAGATGTCTTCTTGAAAACTTGAGACAGCTGTGCTTTTAGAGTGGCTATCAAGACCAAAAACCATTTGTCTAGATAGGCAATTGCCGTATCATCACCACCACATGAATGAAAGAAATGTAAGAAGGAGCCCTCTGAGGCACAGCGTAACTGGTGGATCAATCAACATTGTCTTGCTTCCAGCGACAAAGTGGAGGTTCGAATCCTGGTGGAAACTGCGGTCAGATTTATTTGGTATGGAGCAATCACTTTGGAGGAGGATCTCTTGTGCGCAAAAGTGTACAGGTGGTGGAGGGAACCTGTGATCCAATTGAAGCATAACCTGCGATTTACCTCCTTCAAGGTTCTAGGGGCAAGGGTCTTGAGGGTCTAAGATTTAGTCTAGTGTAAAGCTGAGATATCTGGATTAAAAAAAAAAAAAAATGAAATGAAATGAAATGTAAGAAGGAATGTGCTGAGGGTGTCATATATCATTATCACTATCACTATCCTATCCTTCCTACTTTATTAAAAGGGGAATGAGGAATCATTGCAGCTATGTACAGTATTTAGTTCCGTTTTGTCTCACTATAGTTGTGAATTTCATTTTTTTCTCACCCTTTCTCGAGGACACTGCACATACGAACTGGTGTGAACAGTAATTTGATATAATATTTGTCAGTATTTTATCAATTTGTGTGACGGTAGATATGATTTCTCCCCTTTTCATTTTTCCCTTTTATCCTTTTGAGAAGGAAACAACATCGTTTTCCCTTCATTTGTGCAAAAACGACTCCGTTTCATTTCCTTGAAGAAGTAATTTATTTTCAGAGTCCATCAAGAATTCATATAGTAAAACTCTTTTGGATATATAATTCTAGAAATCTACATTGAGAATTCAGAATTTTAAAGCCTTCTGTATTTGTTTTTCTGTTGTCATCTGCTGGTAAACGGGCTACTGAAGTGAAATCTGAGTGGGCTGCTGTTTTGGTTATTTAATTGGATTGGCTCTGGTCCTATGGATGCTGGTGGAGCATGTCAGTATACAAATATGGATTGCAGTTAAATTTTTATAAATAAATTCTGTGTATCAGTATTAGTATTGTGCCTAACCTTCTCGGCTAAAGTTGGATTTTTATGCAAAAATCGTGATGCGGAGGAGTGGGCCTATTGCTTATGGGGCTGGGCCCCAAAAGAATAGTGCTTGGGGCGGTTTCCTGAGCCTGATTCTAGGTGATATAAAGTTTGATTGCACCTCTCCTATCTGCTATAATTTTTCATAAAGTATAATGCTATAAAGCACAAGTTGTGCTTAACACCAGTATGCATGGTAATTAGGTCACACTCACATCGTCCGATGAAGAATAAAGCATTTTAACTTTATTGGACATTGTGACAGTAAATCCATTGCAAAGTAGACCGGTGCTAAGCTCCACTTGAGCTAAATGGCATTAATGTTGGGAAAAAGTAGTAGTCGTCCAAGGGCGAATCTAGCATGAACATTCAGTTAGGGCGGATGTTGACTTTGACCATTGATCGTTGACAATCAACATCGTAAAAGTCCGATCCGATAGGCTGCCGGTCGTTTATTAAAATTTGATTAAATAATATTAAAAATTAGTCAATATATATGTAAATCCGCCAAAACGTAAAACTTATATACATATGAAATTATAGTTCAATACAACCCAAAATAATAATAAAAATATACAATACAATTTTAATCTTACTTTGTAATTGTAAACTTAGACAACTGAATTCTACGAGATCTCATATTTTGAAAACGTTGCAATAATATAAACTTTTTCAATAAGTACGATGTTCCCTAAACAAATGCCAATTAATAAAATCTAAACCAATTGAGTCGCTACATTTGTATAATCACATAATAAATTTTCCAATCAATGAGATCATTCAAAGTAAAGAGCACGCAATAAATCTACCAACAACTAACCAAAAATTGGAAAATTAAACCATTAGTCTATTGTCTACTTCATGAAACAATTTGATTTCTAATTTCTTAAACCTCACTCAATAAAGAATCTATTATCAAGAAAAAAACTAGAAAATTAAACTAACCCAAAACTGGAAAATTCAACTACTTCGTATGCATTTGTGGCCTGTGGGCATGTAATATATAAGCCAGAGGACTCTGGACTTTACAAATCACATAGCAGAGTTGTCGATCAAAAAGATTTGCTGAAACTGGAACGTGCGCTGGTGTGTGCCTGTGTGGAGAGGTTTTGGGAAGGAATTGGGGAAAAAAGAACTCAAGAATGGTTTCCAATTTGCTCCTCTCTACTGCGGTTTGACGGGAAGGAGATTAGGAGAAGATTTCCATTTTCATTGATTTGGTATTTGAGCAATTAGGCCTACCTAATTAAAGCAAAAAAAAAAGGCCCCCCACTAAGCCCAACTACCCAGCAGCCCAAGTCTGTCATCACAGATTGAGCCAGCCCAAATCCTCTCTTCCTCTTCTTCTTTCTTCCTTGCGTCTCAACGTCTGTCTCAGCTACATTTCGGCGGACGGTGGTTACGGCGAATCCAGCTAGGGCGGCCGCCCTAGCTCGCCACCACCTAGATCCGCCACCATCCTTACATGAGAACTTGATTGCCACTTGCTTTATTAGGATGTAAACATAATTTATTTTCAAGATAATTGATATTTTGGTTAATGTAAATTGAATGAAGTGAAGAAATGAGTTAATATTTGACCTCTTAGCAGTAATACTTGTTAGAGAGAAATAGTTGTGGACTTCTTTATTTTTGGACTCTTACAAGGTTCAACCGTGCTCCACGAAACATAATCTAGACTTTGAAGAAATCATCACCAACTTTAAATATCTAGAATATGCTAGACTTGCGCATATAAAATATTCTAGAGACTCATTACTAGGTGAAAATGAAGACCACCACATTCATAGAGAGAAGTAGAATTGTGAACCCACCGCCAATGAAAGAATTCTCCAGAAAATTGAAGAAGGTAAGGTCACCAACATTCACGCCTATAAATATGGGTTTAGTTGTATTGTATATATGCGTGTGATGAGCAGAAAAATGAGAGATGAGAGAAGTGAGAGACAAAATACATATTGAGTGTGAAGAGGAAGAGAGTGAACGGACAGATAGAGTGAGCTGAGAGTAGGAGAGAGAGAGAGAGTGATGCGGAGAGGAAGTGGGTTTAAAAATTTATTGTGACAGTAGTATCCTATAACTTAATAAGTGTGAGTGAAAGTGTCAAAGTGTCGTATTGTATAAAATTTCCTTTCAATAAAATAATATTTTTGAGATTTAAATTTATCACGTTTAGTATCTAATTAAGCTTTTGCTTATACTAGGCTTGCTGGAACTATAAATAAGTATGAATAACTCGAGAAGATCCGGAGAAAAACCTCAAGAAAGAAGATTATCAAACAATTTGTCGAAAATTTCAGAAACGTCAAGGAAACTTCGTAAAAGTTTTAGCATAAATTAGTGCTTTCAGCTTCGAAAGATTGTTCTTTAATGCAATGAGGAGAAAACATATGTGGTTGGTGGAATTATGTGTTGGTGGTTTTCATAGCGTCGATGGTCTAGAATGACATGTTTATTCTATTTAACTACTAAAAAGTCATTTCTTTTAGAAAATCAAGTTCTTTCAGTTCAAATAAGTAAAAAGACAAAATTAAAAAAAGCAAACATCCTTGACAACTCCCAACGCCCACCCCATCTTAACTGTATCCACCTATTCGATCAGCTGCCACCAACGACTTCCTTGTGCCCATCCACCTATGGTCGAGTTCCCCTACCTGCTGCTTGCCCCACTACCCATCCCTTTTCCTCCTCTCCCTTGAGTTGATCATTAGCGGACAATATTCTTAGTTTTTACATAGGGAAGTGATAAATGTGCATAATTGTCTAGATAATGATGTCCATAATTACACGTGACACTGAATCTAACATTTGATTCAAATCTCACACTTACACATCAATAGTCGGATGATTGCCACATCATATTATGGACACCATTATGTGCAATAATTATGTACAAGTAGAATTCTCCTTTTACATATTAGAGTTCAAAGTTTTATTATGTTCTCATATCCACACAACGCCTAGCAATTCGTTACTTGTATATAAAATTAACTAAATCTTGTTTCTTTGCTTCATGCATATAAATTTCAAAAATAAGATTTTCCACAAATTATGAATACAGATAGTAGTTAAGTCACTCCATTCTATCTTGCAAATATTATTTTTTCTTCTCTAAATTATACATGATATGCAATGTCCAGTGATGATAACAAAATCTGAGAAAGATC